TGGGGGATTGAACTGCGGTCCCTGATGCTTTTGCTAAGCTTGTTCTAAGTAGGTGCTTTAGACCACTGAGCCATCTCTCCAGCCCCTATCTTGACATTTTAACCACCAAAAAATTCTGGTAATCTTAACAACTAATTTGAAGACAACAATATGCAACATAAAAACAATTCTTGAATTATTATCATCTGGTTTAGTGAAATTCTGGATCATTTCTAATTTTTCCTATTATTTTTATTCTCTTTATAAAAAAGAAACAGAAAAAATCAACTAAAGCAAGAGAAAAATAAATTCTGTGCTTGATGTGTGTGTGCGTGTGTGTGTGTGTGTGTGTTTGTAAAATAATATCACAATGATGTTCACTGTTACAGAAGCCCAGCAAATGGCTGAACCTAAACACTCCACCTGGAAATAAACTTTGACATGACAGGCATATGGCGAGCTATAGGATTTCAGAGGAACATTATGTACAGTTTTGTTTACGAGTAAAAACTTTATGGAGGTCAAGATTCTTTCAAGCAAAACTTGTGGTATAAACAAAATATTCAAAGAAGGAACAAACCTTGGTAAATGTGAAACAATTAATTTCAACCAGAGTAGAGAGCTTGTACAGGAGAACAATGCCTCTCCTTCTGAGCTAATCTCTTTTATCTTCTTAGCTTTTGTCTCATTTCCTTGGTTATCCTACCAGGGAGGCTTCTGGATTCTTAATTTTCGCTATGATTTTATATTGCAAGCTTGATGATGGGATTATGAGCAGAATAAGATGAGACTGTAATGATATTCTACAAATGTGCCTAATGGATCATTTTTGATAGAAACAAAAGAACAGCTTTCAAGATGTATAGATGTTTTGACTTAAATATCCCTCCTCCGTGAACTCTTTTCACTATACTAATGGCTATAATTTTTATTTATGAACAGCTGGCAGGTTATTCCATCAATAGCAGAAAGGAACTGGCTCCCCTCAGAAAAGGTGGGGTCAAATTTGCCACCTCAGCTACAGGCTGCACATGGAATCAGAAAGAAAGGCCCTGCATACAAGCCTTTTCATTCTTTGTTTTCTTCAAGTACAGACACTGATGAATTCTTATGTAAGAAAATGGAACAATAATACATACAGTGCTGAGTATATTTGTAAATGAAGTAAGATGTCTTGAGTCATAAAATTCATAAGTAAAAGAAGTTGGTCTCTAAAAATACCACTCTAAATGCAAGTTTGCACTTTGAATAAGAATGGAAAGATTTCGAAAGGAATAGTTTCATAAAATTGAAATTTTTGGAGAATTTAGTAAGCCAGGTGTGGTGATGCATGCCTGTAATCCCAGCACTCAGGAAGCTGAAGTAGGAGAATCTCAGCGAATTCAAGGCCAGCATGAACTACATGGTGAAATCCTGTCTCAAAAATCAAACAAAAAGGAAAATAAAATTTAGTAACACAGAAGCATGCTTCTGAGCAAAGAACCTGGCTAGGCCACGAGGAAAGCAGGCTTTTTGCATTGTTAGTGGAAGTGTGAGCTACTACAAACACTAGGAAGATGGGTTTGGAGAGTACCTGAGAAATTAAAGCTGGAAACTCCACTGCACCCAGCTATCCCCTACCTGAACGTCTTCCTAGGAGGGTTAACACATCACATAGCTGTGAGACCTGGGTAGCTATACTTATAGCAGCCCAACTCATAATAGCTGCATCTTCAAAGTAGCCCATTTGTCCATTCACAGATGAATAGGTGGAAAACGTGTGGCATTTACAGAGTGGGGCACAGCGCCGCCTAGAGAAGGGAAAACTTGAGCCAGTCACAGGAAAATGCGCACACCTTCAGACCACAGTGCTGAGTGAAATAAACCAGGGCTCATGTTTAAATGCCCCACACAAACCCCAAAGTATAATAAAGAGCAAAAATAGGTGGATAATAATAAGTGGGGGGATGAGTCTTTCTCGAAAAGGGAGAAGATAGAGAAGTGGGAGAGGAAAGGAAAGAGGATGCAGAAGGAAAAACAGAAGTAAAATGTGTATATGTGTTGGTTCCTCATAAAAAATGCGAACATTATGTACTGCAGACGTGTACTAAATGAAAGTAAGTACAGGAAGGAAGCAAGGGCGCCCCCTGGCCTCTTACGTGTTGACGCATCTGGCAGGCCTGGGTAGCCACGCACCTCCCGTTCCATAGAGAGGAAGTTACAGTGGTCAGCATAAAGGCAAGATTTCCAGAAAATTCTTTAAAATAATCATAGAGGAAAATATGTGCCTGTAGTGCATGTGGAGGTCTTTCTAAAAATGTCTACATACAAAGCTGCAGTACCAAAAAAAAAAAAAAGAATAAATAAAAAGAACTTTAAAAACCTGCACTACCAAGATAGAAAAGAAATTCTGTTAAAAAACAGGAGAAAAACGTTCTTTCCCCTCTTTTCTGTTTTAGAAATCTTCCCTGTGTACTAAGAAAGGGGAGACATAAGAGGAGGGGAAGGTGCTCTTCCCACCGCCATTTCTGGCCAGAGGACTTAGAGACCCCAGAGAGACAGGCACAAGAAGACAGCGCTTCAGAAGAAATTGCTTAAACCAGGAGCTGGCAAACGTTTTCTGGAATGAACCAGAAAGTAAATATTTAAGGTTGCCTGAGCCATATGGTTTTGTTCAACTATGTAACAAAACCATTGCAAGCTGAAAGAGCTGCCACCCCAGCATGTCAGCAAAGGGGCACCGCTGCGTGCCCAGAAAATGATGTACAGAAGAGGGGGAGGCCAGCTTTGTCCTGCAGCCTGACACCCTGGCAATCTGCACTGCTGCCTCGACTCCAGAAATATTTGTACTAAAAAAATGTGTGAGACACACACAAACACACAAAGAGAGAGAGAGAAAAAAAAGAGAGAGAGAGAGAGAGAGAGACAGACAGACAGACAGACAGACAGACAGACAGAGAGACAGAGATAGAGACAGAGAGATAGAGACAGAGATCTTCAGTGTGAAGTTTGCTGACCTGTTGTTTAAGGAAACTGATTTGGGGCATCCACCTGAAGTTTTCAAATCTATGAGAATAAATTCAATTGCCATAAGATGTTTAGATTTAGTTTAAATGTCTAAAACTCCTTAGTAAAGCATCTAATGCTATCATTTATACAGTCTGTCAGAAGAGTGAACAGAATTCTCAGGCTTCCAAAGTCTGAACCGCAGTTCTGGATCTGATCTTTATGTTTTTCGTTTGTTTTCTTTTGTTTCGCATTTTTTAGGGAAGGGTCTACAGCATGTTCAGGGTCCCACTACTAGATCGGACTCATAGTGATCTGCCTGTTTACAGCCTCCCAAGAGCTGGGATTACTGGCTTGCACCACCACGCCCAGTCTCAATTGCTGTCTCAGTGCTCCCTGAGGGCAGGACCAGCATAGCAGGCCCGGGGATTGAACCCCCAGCCACTGCGCCTGCTTGCAGGCACTTTAATCCACGGAGCTATTTGGCTTTGATCTTTATGTTTAAAGGAGATAAAGAAGACATTAGTGGAAGAACTTACTGTCCTGTTTTGCAAGAAGCTAGCACTTACCTCTGGCAATATTTCAGCTGTAGTTGCTCTCCATTTTGCTGAGCACCCTTCGGGAACAGCTAAAATCTTACAAGCTAAAGGTAAATAAAGGTGCTGAAAGCCAGCAGCACTTGATGCACTAGTACAGCAGCACTAACGCTTTATTCCTTACTCTTCAGAGGAGGGCACGTGCAATTTTCACCATATCTTGAGTCTCCCCCACTACAATATCTGTGGTGATGATTGTTGATGGAAAAAGCATTTACAAATAAAATTTTTACAAGCAATGTGAAGAAATATGGAAAATAGAAGGCTTAAGCACATAATCCAAGCCTGTACCTTTGGGAGAATGAACAGGGGTGCATTTTAAGGAATTTGAAATATAGGTTTTATAAATGCCATGGGATTGGGGCCTATCTTCAGGACCAGCTTAGAATTTAATCTAAGCATAATGAGTGATGAACCAGTGGTTTTCATGAAGAAAGCCTGGCATGGCAGACATTCATGTGAATGGTACAAGGCCGGAGTGCATGGCTAATGTGATCAGGAAAAGTCACTGCGGCTGCAGTGATATGAATAGAATATCTACAGAAAGGTTGTAGGATTTCTTAGAATCTGAAAATTGGAGGATAAAAATTATCTTCTTTCAGATTGACCCAAACCTCTCTAGCTTTAAAATCTGCAGTCTATATGTTGTCTGACAAAAGGATCCATTAATCCACATATCCACTCCTAAGAAGAAATCACAAATTAAACAGATAGCTTAAAGAAATTTTTCGTTTTATTTGTAGGCTCTATCTTTCAACTCTAGTGGTTGGAACATGCATGATCTTCTAATAAAAACATGATCTTAAGAATGTAAAAACTGATTTTCCTTTCTTTAGGATATGCAGAAAGAGAAAGCAGCACTTTTTTTCCCAGGTAGGGCAGAAGAGCTTTTCACATTCACCTTGAGCCTATAAGATTGCTTCAACTAATCACCATGTCTGAAGGACACCGAGTCCTGCTCCCATGGCCTAAAGCACACATAAGCAATCCACCATCCCAGGCAGAGCAGCTGTACACACTCCTGAACTATGCACCCTGGCTACAAAGCCCATGACACAGGAAGGTGCATCTTTCGTGACACATGACCTGAACAACATTTCACTCCACTCCTTGCATCCCAGAAGGTGCGTTCCCTGTGACACACAGTGTCTGGTGGAAATGAACTGTGAAGTAACAATTACAAAGCTTTTATACAAACCTCTAATGACTATCTATGGCTCCTTGGATGTTATCTAAACTGGCAACCTCTCAAGTGATGACCAGTTCCTCCGTGAGTGTGACAGTGCCCATGGCTGATGCACGACACACACAGTAAGCCGTGGGTTGTGCTATTGAGGCTCAACTATCCAGGAGACTTATTAAGGATGTGTGCCACCCTGTGCACTACCTGGCAGTGGATGAGAACAGAGAGCTCTAAAACACCATTCTGCAGAAGGGCTTCCTGGAAGAGTCCTCTTTGGCCATGCTGTTTCCTTTCGTGCCCAACATTAACATCATTTAAAAATGAATAAATTCACTCACCTACTTGTCCTACAGAAACCTCAGCTCATGAAAGTCTGCAGTGCATTTCCATTTACTGGATTAATAAATTTAATAAAACTACCAGGCAAAGCACCATGTTTTCTTGGCTAAATTCATAAAGAAAAGTGATCTTTAACCTGAATGAGACCATGGTCCAGCAAAAGGTTCTTTCTTTGTTATATGATGCTATTTTGGGAAATCACAAAGTAGCACGAATTTGATTTGCTGGTATTGACTGAGCATATTCGCCAGACTAGGGAACTCAAAAATCAATGCCTTGGTGCTTCGGTACTCTCTCCTTCTAAAGGGGAGAGAAAGTAACATAGCAACCCTGACAGACAGCAGATGCTAGTCAGTAACGTGAGCTCCCACCTGGTGCCGAAGGACAGCGAGTAAAGTCCTATGCTTTGTGCATGTGTACGCCTGTGTCCTTTTTGAGACAAGGTCTCACTATGTAGCTCAGGCTAGCCGTGAGCTCACTTTGTAGCTCAGGCTGGTCTGGAGCTCACAGTGATCCTCCTGCCTCAGCCTCCTGAATGCCGGGATTACAGGTATATGTCACCATGCCCAATTGAGAGTAAAATTCTAAATGCATCCAAGTAAACATCTGAACTAAAATGAACAATCAGATGCAGAAATGTTAGACTTTGTCCTGGTAGAAAATAGTTTTTTAGGCAAAGTAATGATTTAAAAATAAAAGATGACACTGGCAGAAATATGGTTTACTATAGCTGATTGTCAGCTACAAATTTGGGGTTCAGTGTGGCAAGATGGGATGACACAGTTATTATTTTTACAGCTGCTTGATGGGATGGGATGAAGGTAAAATTAAAGGAACACAGATAATTATTGTTTTCCTGATGCTTACATTTAGTGAGAGAGTGAGAGTGTGCATTTTTACAGGATCAGATATGTTTACAAATCTGAGCAATGACAAGAACTTGGATCTTGAATCAAAATAATTGTTGCTGCCCTTGCTCAACTCGTTTAACTCAGAGATTTTATGTGTGTAAAGAATGTGAGATCATTTTGTAGATTCTTAAACTTTAAAGAAAGAGCAGTACTCTGGCAGGCACAGCTTGGAGACCTAAGTGCCACAGCTGGAGACCTAGAGCTGAAGGATAGAGACAAGACTGCACGCGATGCACGCTGTCCCTTTGCAAGATGCAGTGTCAGCCTATCTTGCCACACTGAACCCTGAATTTGTAGCTGACAGCTAAGAGGTGTGGCTAGGACCCTGTCACTATTGATGGGGCTGGAGTACGCAAGCAGGAGTCCTTGTCTCAGGTTGGGAACTGATGGCTTCTCTCTGCCTTAGTAAAAGTCCTGCTAAGTCATCATGGTGCAAAGCCCAAATGGCGCAGGCCACGGAAGCCACATGCTGTGCTCCGCTTTCCTCCTCCCTGGTGCTATTACAACCTTCTACTTCCTTTTCACAAGATCCTGTTTCCTTGCTCCCGCCTTCTTCCCAATCACTATTTGCTACGTCACACAGATGGCCCCCCAAACCTCCCACCATCCTGGCCCTATATACCCTTTGTTCTTCCTGCCACACCCTTAGAAGCTCCACATCTCTCTTTTGCTGTGGTCTTCTCCTTGCCTGCAATAAAGGCCTCTTTTATCTGTCATGTCTCTTTACTGTGCCAAATAAACCTAACAGGAACCTTAGCTCTCCCAGCCACAGGAGTGGGAAAAGCCTGGAGGCGCCTGGACACATCAACAGCAGAAACCAGAGGGGCAGAAAGAGCTCCAAGGGTCTCAGATACCATCACAGGTGGCTGAGCAGGATGTACTCACCTGAACTCCTGACTTGTGACCACTGACCTTCTGGGACTGTTGTGGTGCCCTTTCGGGGCCTACTTTTCCCATTTAGGTGAGTGCAGGCTAACGGCAGAGCAGATCAGGCAACTGGGTTCCAGGGTGTGTGACTGCACAGGGTGAGCTATACCAAGTAGAAGAAAAACAACAGAGAGGAGGAGTTGAAGTGCACTTTAACTGATTATGGCAAAGGCAGACCCTTCTGCAGCCCAGGCTACTGCGAACATGTGCCTTACTCTGCATAGCTTATGCAAATAGAATATAATCAACTTCACTTCTTGCATGAGAGGTGAGCTAAAGAACTCTCTCGTCCCCCTGGCAGTCACATGGCTGTGAGCTCTGGGGATCCACACCGTTGGACCTCCTAGATGCTCCATGTCTTTTCGTGGGCTGAGTTTGTCCAGCACTCTTTTAGAGATGTACTTATTTTTATTAATTTTATTGAGAAACAAATAGCAATGAGACAGTTTCAAAACCAATTAATTCGACAGTTTCAATAATTAATACATTACATATTGTTGTCTTCGTAGTGGTTATTCATAGTACAAGATGCAGACATGATATCTTGTCCAAGCACTATTAGTACAAATCTTTCTTCTCTACTACTATTATGGACTACTGGATTATATTGGATTATTTTGCTGAATTCATGCACCTACAATATTTGAATGGCAATGGAATACCCCTCTCTGACAAAACTAAACACAAAGGGTGATATGGATGAAGGACCAATTTGTATCTGTATATACAGAATGGTTGGGACGGATATACGCTACTTTCTTCTTAATTCAAGGAGTAGAAATGTATTTAAATTCTTTTCCTGCATTACAGTATTGTTTTACTCAGGTCTATTTCTGTTTTTGAACGGATAGACCCAGTGTTGTTACACGACCACTATGTTTTATTTCTAAAATCAATAATTCTAACTAGCACTGGCACTTTTGTCCTAAGGTGCCTCTTCACTGATAATTGTCCTGCCCTGAGAAAGAAGTTGGGGCAGTTGATTCCTCATACTTGTGTATCATTAAAAAAGCAGTAAGATCTAAGCTGCTGTCAGGATATTTCCATAGGTCACCGTCTATTTCTAATTTTTAGATAGAGTTTGTCCAAACTAATTAAGGAAAATTCACACAAATACCAATGGTAAGAGCAGACACAACTCATTTACCTGATTTATTTTATTTTGTTTTTTTTTTGTTTTTTTTGGCAGAACTGGGGATTGAACTCAGGCCCCTGCACTTGCCAGGGAAGCGCTTATTCTACTGAGCCATCTCCTTGGCCCATTTATCTGATTTTTAACACCAATGTTGACTGTCACTTTCAAATTCAGTCAATTGGTTTTATCCCACATTTAAAAGTACTCCGAAATATTTAGGTAATTGGAAAATCCAGTTGCTTAAGTTATGTCTGTGTATAGCAGAGAGTTTCTAAGACCTAACAAAAATGTTTCCACTCATGCATATTAAATTCTGCACTTTTCCACTTTCTGTGATCGTGTATGTATTTTCAATATTAAAAGATTAAGAAGCTTAAAAGATGATTGTCAAAGGTTGACCTGCATAGATAAATAAAAGTGTTAATCCGAAAGAAGAAAATCCGAATCAGAAACGCGATAATTAGAAATAGAGATACAACGCGACCTGTAAGTAGCTAAGCATGAGGAATTTAGCTCCACCAGTGAGCACACACTCTCCTCGTTCAAGCTGGTACCTGTGTAGTTTAGTGGAAGCAGTTGGAAATCTTTCAGTAATTTGGGACAAAATAGAAATAAAAACAACACTTTATTTGCTACAATATCATGGGGTCAAGGACCTGTGAACCATTACCAAAGAAACTGCGTTTTAAAATTAATCAGTGAATAAATCGTGTGCCCTGTAAGTGTCCCTCCTGTCACTTGCGCTACTTTCCTGGCTCTTTGCGCCCACGCTGTGGCTGTGCCGGCTTTCACGGCCTCCATCTGCGTCCCGTGATTTGCACGGCGCGGCCTAGAGATGAGTAACGTGTATGACTTTGGAGCCAAGAATCTCGGCCAAGGCAGAGTTCACTGCACAGGTGGAAGACAGTGCTCTGGTGGGCAGGTGG